AAGTTCAATATTTAAGAAGAAAAAAAAAACAGACTTCGTTCACCACAAACGGAAACAAGTCGGGAAGATCAGGATTTAAGCTCATTTCCTTTTTCGGTGCGCTATCGGGAAAATTCTTTCGCCTACGATTCAGAGCACGTCTGCGGAATCTGTCTCCGCGTTGGCGGCGTACAGGAAATGTGGTTAAAGGATAAAGATCCAACGCATCGATGAGCTCTATTTCCCCATACCCTCCCCCTTTAGGCTTAGCCGCCTATACTATAGCAACGGGTATTCCTCCCGACTCTGAGTATGTTACACTCGCCTTGGAGCTGCAATGCACGTTCGAGATAAAGCGGTCGATGAAATCAGCCTACGACTTCTCGATTCATTAAATCAGTTCGCTTTATCCGGTGCTCTGTAACGCGACACGTCATTCATCTAAGGGTGCCTTAGGCTGTGCGGTGTCTATATCCGTAAACCCACTACATATATCTCCATTTTACGATTGGTGAAAACGCAGACGCGGCCAGATAAACGAGGTAATATATTAAAATATTTTGGGAAACGGCTCCGAATAAATAAATCGAGCTATGGCCATATCAGTGCGGAAGGAACGATTGGCCAATGTACGGCGCGCCATGCACGTTCACCACGTGATGCGCTTTCTGATACGTCCGCACAACTTCCTGAACTGCTGACGCTTTAATTTCTGAAATTCGTGCGGTAAAGAAAAAATGGTATCATCATCATCATCATCACCACCAGCAGCAGCAGGAGCCTGGCTACGCCAACTACAAGCAAAGGCCTCTCCCATGTTCCACCAACAAATCCGCTCCTGTGCCTTCTGCTGCCACAGGATTCCAAGAGAAGGCAAATTCTTTAGGGGGCGACAGAAAATAAGGAAAAATGAGATTGATAAGTCCTGCACGTATAACGTGGCAGCACAACTGACATTCAGCAGGCCTTAAGTTCTAAGAATTACTTGTACTTCTTTTTTTTTTTTTCAGCGGAGCTTTCGCACGTTTACGCTTAATGACATTTCACCCAATAACGGCGATATCAGTGACTTCTACGAGCAATATTATGGTAATAAACTTTGAGCATTAAAAAATGAACACGCATTTCAACGAGTCCTAATCTGCGTTCGAGGCAAGTAAGATGTACAAACAAGTAAGTAAGATGTATACATAATGAGCGTACTACTACGAAGCCATTAACTTGAGTTTGCTGCAGTCTTTCGCACAACGTTGCAACGACCGCATAGAAACTTGCATCAGGTGAATGAAGATCGGTAATGTTTCCTGTTAAGCGACCGGGATTGGAACGGAATCAATTAATTTCCGGTGACGAGAAATGAAAAAAAAAAAAACGAAAATAATGTATGCTACCTGACACTTCGGTAACAGCTGTTCGCAACAACGTGGAGTTGGGACCGGTAACGTTAAAATAAGTTAATAATAAAAAAGTCGTTCTTGGAAACGCACAAATTTTAATTCCTCTCGCGGTGTCTTTCTTGTTTACTTATTTAAACATTTTTCTCCTCTATCCAACTCCTAGGGCATTTTCCATTGCTGAACAGCTTTTCCGTTGCTGAACAGTTTTTCAGCCTAAAACATGCTCGCAAGGCAGCGTGGGTATGTACATATTCGAACAAAATACTCCCCCCCCCCCCCCCTCCTAAAAAAAAATAACTAACACGTGCGTCAAAACTGCGCTGTACTGCATAATTCTGTCCATGCAGGTTGTTGCCCACGGCACCCAAAACATGATCAGAGAAATATATGCATCCAGCTTCCCGCATGCAATCTGCAACCTTCTCATATTACGACGGCTTTGTTACACTACCTTATCACTGAAAGAACCATACAAAATACTTGATAGATATTTGGGGTTTAACGTCCCAAAACCACTATATGATTATGAAAGACGCCGTAGTGGAGGACTCCGGAAATTTAGACCACCTGGGGTTCTTTAACGTGCACCCAAATCTGAGCACACGGGCCTACAACATTTCCGCCTCCATCGGAAATGCAGCCGCCGCAGCCGGGATTCGAACCCGCGCCCTGCGGGTCAGCAGCCGAGTACCTTAGCCACTAGACCACCGCGGCGGGGCCATACAAAATACTAACATCGCAGAATTAAACGATATATTAATAGCGGAATGCAATAGCGCGCATGCCTACGTAGCAAATCAACTCAAAAAGCAGGTGAAAAAATTGGTGCTTGTAAAATTAGTTTTCTCATTGCAGAAGACTCGAATTTCCAACTTCTATTAGGGCTTTTCGGAATAATGTCATTAGCCTCGTCATCTTTCTTAAAAATTATTCGCTGCATGCCTATCCACAGCATACTCGCAAGTGATTCCCTTAGACGAGGTTAGCGACAGCCATAACGTGTGTGTGTTTCGTTGTTAACCCATTCTACGTAACATATTTATGCCTCGTTGCATTGCAAAGTAGAAGTGGTCGTTCAGTGGCATGTCTAATGCGGCAAGTTAAGCCCCAAAGAGAGCTGTGCGCACTGTACAAGTACCGCGGCCATCAAAACCGAATGGGATGACCACGGCGCGCCGAATTAACGATATGTCACACGAGGGGATAAAGCGGGTAGGAAGCCGCTAAGGTCACGCATACTATCTTTTTCATTGTCAGAGTGGCGCGAATATCCGACGTTAACACATTCGGAAGGCTCCTGGCATCACTGAAGCGAAATGCCACATGGAGGCTTTACTTTCAAGGAAAAGTATGTAGTTCACACACACAACAGATTTACACTGCCAGTAAACGCTTTTCGCAAACGCTTCGCTGTCGCACTGGATATGCACGACAAGCTTGACCAGTGGTCATCTATTTCATGAGCTGACGGTGCGCCTAAAGGCGTTAAGTTGCGGCCAGAGTAATTAATGAGTGCTGCCTTGGGATAACCCCTCGATTCTATAGGCGTACGAAAGATAGCCCGTTGATGACGAATGGACCGTGGGTGAACCGGAACGATTGGGAATGAGGCATTAACCATTGATCCATCCATCCATCTGGATCAACGAAGGCTTGTACAGCTGACACACAAACATTCTAGGGAAAGGCGCAGGCTTATATCCACGGCGCAGCATGCGGTATCGACCGTTCGTTCGACCGCCTGTGTGCACGACCCTGGCAATTGTCAACCGCGGAATCCCAGCCATTGTGCGCGAGCGTCCCGGTAGGGGGTGCGGGGAGGAGCCTTCTGAATAAACAGCTAGCCAGCCCCGAATAACTATACCAGCCCTACAAGCCCTCATCATTCCTCTCTCCAGTTCCGAGTGCACTCTTGTTGTTGTTCAGCGAGCAATGCATAGCGCGCTCCGACGCATGCGTCTATACTATACGCACAATGTTGCTTCGCTATCCCGCCGCAAAGCCTGCAATAAACGCCGGGAGGGGTTAACCGCGATCGACGAGGCATGCACGCACGATGCCTCTCTTCTCCAGCGCGCGTCACGACTCTCGCAAGGGCGCTTCGGAACGTCCCGGCCGCCGCAAATCGACAGCCCAATCTGCGGCGCATCGAGGTGTCGATGAGAGGAGGGGGAGTCGATGACGAAATGCTGAAAGGCTCCGCTGCGCACTTCTCACCTCACTCACTCTTTTTCGCGGCTGACGCGCGTTTGCATTAATCGGCGGAACAACGAAGAAAGAGGCTCTGGTGGCGAAAGGGTCGCGACCCCTCAACGCACGCGCGAATCGCCTTCTCGAATGGCGCTGAGCACAGCGGTCTGCGCCACGCTCTTGCATCCTCAACCGGGCGTTCGAAGTGAGAGCTCTCCCGTACTCGAAAGCTATCGAGGAAGGGGGTCAGTGCTCGAAGTCTCAGGACTGCCAAGAGTTCTTTGGCGCACTTTTCCTCCCCCGCGAGATGGTCATTGCGAATATGGTAAACGTTTACCCATGGCCCAAACGGTAAGAAAAAGGCACGCCGTCAATGAAGTATTGAAGTAACGCAACCTTCGCAGTAATTATTGTAAGGGTTTTACATTTCAAGACCACCGTATGATGATGAAGAACGCCGTAATGGAGGACTGTAGATATTTTGAGAAGCTGGTGCTCTTTATATAAATACGCGCGCCTCTGGCATTGCGCTTCTAACGAAATACGGCCGCCGCTATCGTGATTCGAACTGGGTGAGCAGTCGAGTACCGTAACCCCCCCCCCCCTCCCGCCACACACAAAAAAGAGAGAGAAAGAGAGATACTGCGGGACACAACTCAGCAGGTTGACTTATATGTATCAGAAATTCGACCAGCAGAACTGAAGGAAAGGCATGGGAAAAAAAAGGGAGACAGACACGGATGTCGTAACCCAAGCTTTCAACATTCGTTAACTGAAACCGGACAGGCCCTTGCAAACGCCGTCGAAGGAAATATATTCCAACTACACAAAGCCTTAGCGATCAAAAGAATGCGACAATAATCGTCCATTGATAGCGCGACATGCTGTTGGTGGCAAGATACCGAGCATGATGAACAATTAGGGGCCCCGCCGGCATACTTCCACGGGAGCTCTCAAACCTGGAGTGATCCCCTCTAAAGCGATTCAAGCCACAAGATGAGAGCGAGAAAGAAACTTCAAGGCAATAAAAAAGTCAGAATAACTGCGGTTATAGAATATTAAAACTAATAAATAATATATAACAATAAAACTAAAAATAAACAACAAAGTGCTACATATTGTGATCGTTGTACAGTGCGTGACAACCACGGTGTATGAATTTTGGTACACATTGGTGGTAACTAGAGCCGACTACTAAACTTCAGACTGAAACTTGGCCGCGATCCTTCATACCTAACCTCACCTCTGCTACAATGAAAAAACGGAAGCAAAGAAACGTCGAGAAGAAATCAAGATCTGCGTTGCAACGTCAAACTGAGGACGCTGGGACTGATCAGCGGCGTGATCCAAGTGACAGCCGATCCCTAAGGCACGCCGCGTCGTGCCCGGGCTGGCGCTCCGCTACGATTGGTCGTAGTCGTCGGATTGTCTTACCATGATATCCAGGCGGACGGTGGTGGGCCCGTTTCGACCCATGAACCTGGGGTCGGTGACGTACATCCAATCGCACATCTTCGCCATGGCTCGCTTCTCCTCTGTCCTGTCCTTCGGCATGACGGTAGGCCGTGACGACGTAGAGGCCGAGGCCTCCGTTTCACTCCATCGGTCACGGACACAAACGTAAGAAGAAACCTCGGCGCACTCACACCGGCACCCGTCAGAAACGAGAAGACGCACCAACAATAATGAGAGAAACAATATAGCACAGCGACCGAGGAGGCGGGCAACTTCGGCGACCGAAAGTCGAAACCCGGTTCAGAAGACGCGCGGCACACGCGTGGTTGTGACGACGACGCTCCTTCGCCGCACCGCTACAACTGACTCAATGCATGCGCTCACAGGTCTGGCCATCGCCTCGCACACGGCGCGACTGCTGCTGCGGTGTTGTTGACTGTGGGCCGCCGCCGCACACGGAGTTGGGAAAAACTCTCCTCCGAATAGGACGGGAGAGAGGGCCGAGAAGAAGGCGTGCCCCGCATTTCGCCTCTTCTCTTTCTCTCACTGATTTCTCTCTCCTTCGCAATCCTCGCGGGGCAATCTCGCTTGTCGCGCGCGAGCGGATCAGCAAAGCCGTCGCGCTTCTCCCTCCATCTCCGTCCTGCCGCCCTCTCCGCTAGACCATCTCCGTAGATTGTGCGTGCGTGCGTGTGTCGCCTTCGGAATTCTTTTCCTACCACCTGCCCGCCCGCCGCGCGATGCACCGACCGGAAAATAAAGAGAAGCCAAACAACGGGTGCGGCCGTGCAGCATAACAGAACAAGAGAGAGGTAGAGAGGGAGGAGTAAACAGGAGAGAGCGGACAGCAATCTCTCTCCTTCACCTTTGAACACTGTGGACCGTCGCTTCTCTCCCACCCGCCCTCGGAGTCTGAACGCGCACGTGCGCGGTGCGATGCAGTTTGCGATCTCTCTCCGCTCTCTTTTATTACTCTTTCATTTTGTTGCTCCTCGCCTTTTGTCTTATCGCGCGCCAGCGGCGGGCCTCCGACGGGCTGGAGTCTATCAGTCTATCTTTTCCGGAGCAGACTGCAGAGGAGGCGACGGAGTCCTTGTTATCTCGTTCGATGCGTCCGTTCTTCGTTCGTTCTTTCAGCCATTGTTCTCTCCGCAAGTGCGGATGATCGGCTCGCCGCTCGTGTCCGTCTTCCTTTTTAGGACTGGAAAGCAATTTGATTGTTTCTCTTTCTTTCCGGGCTGCTTGCGCGGTATCTGCGCACAAACGTGTATATCAGTCCGATGGCCACTCGGCTTTCCCGAAGAAAGCAATTTTTGAGAAGCACTTCCAGTTCCGCAACCATCTTCCTTTCGGCGGCAGTGTTTTTTTTTCTTCTTTATGTTCCTTCGTAGCAAACTCATCATCACAAGCTCCAAACCCGAGTCCAACGCCTACTCTTTTTTCCTTCTCTCTTTCGCTTGCACCTTTTCCCCTCGCGGATATTCCCAGGTGTCGGAATCCATCTTATGTGAGCCGACACACCGCCTTCTTTTGCCGTTACTTCGCTTTTTTTTTTCTACCTCACTTTGCATATGAGTCGTTTAGTAGGGGTGCAGGAGGTTGCGATGGGAGGGGCGTGTATGTCTGTAGATGCAGCTTTCAGCTTCTCCGATCGCTGAATCTTTTTTTTTTTTTTTTTAATAATATGTGAGCGTTTCTACAGGTACTCTCGCCTTTCCAGGCGATGTCTCCCTCCGACTCTTTCAGATATACAAGCTTCCACCACCGAACAGGCACGGATGTTTCTCACTTTCGGTGGAGAGGGGAGGGTCAGGGTGCCTCGCGTTGTGACGCAGGCCGGTAGCTACTATTACAAAAATAGTAGCACACACACACACAAAATTCAAATCCAAGGTGCAAGGAAGGAAACGCCAGAGTAGCAATAGCGGTGTCGTATGTAGAGATTCCCGGGGTGGAAAGGGAGGAGGAAGAGAGTTTGAAGGCTCTAATTTTCAATGCTGCAGCCGTCCTTTGTGCGGGGTGCGCGCGCGCCCCCTCCCGGGCCAGTCACATCTCTCTCCTATTTTTGCGCGAGCTCGCGTGAAAGGAAAGCAAAACGTGTGTTGCCGCCGCCGCAGCCGCTCTACATACCCCCTCGTCCCTCAAAGCACCGGTGTTCGGTGCTGGCGCCCACACCCCTCTCAGCTACCCGACACCGTGTATGTCACAAACTGCACCCTCCTCTTCCGCTTTTTAAAATTTATTTCGTCCTTGAGTGTATCCGTCTTCTTCGCCCCTTACGACGAAGTTTCCTCGCCCATTCGTTGTTACATTTGTGCGTTTTTGTCGCTTTCTTCAACGGGACTTCTCTCTGTCGAACGAAGCAAAGTTTGCTGGTGCCCTTAGGTACAGAAGTGGTAACACGTTCAAACAACGCGCGTCTGCCTGCCGAGGAACACGGATGAAATTTCGAGGTGTCATTCGGCGCTTCGGCTGCAACGAAACAGTTTTGGCCGTTGCCCGAACTGCGCGCCTGCATCCGCCCCGTCTCTTCTCTGGACGCAGCAGTGCGTCCCCGCGTCGAATTTCTGGAGGCTCGGCCCTGGTGTATGCGTTGTAGCGGTTGTGGCCGAACACGGACGTGAAACTCGGGGGGCACCAGGACTACCCGTGTAAACGGGCTGGGAGGCGACAAGTGTGGCTCAGCTGCTGCCTATTTTTCTCCCTTCCTTCGCTTCGCCTTCTCTCCTTTCCAAGGTCCCAAGCTTTACACTTGCCTCTTAGTTCCTCGGAGTAGTACATTTGCCACGAATTCGGGGTTTGACTTCGGGTTGCTGCAGTTTGCGGAGACGCTGAACTTCTTTCTCTCTCTCTCTCTCTCTTGTGTTAGTCGCAGGAGGAGAAGGGGGAAGATGGGGGAAGCATTCGGAAACAGCAGCGCGAGGGGTCTGGAAGACGGGAGTTCGAAAACTGTGAACCGGGGGCCAAGATAGGGAGGGGGGGGGGGGATGACACAGGAAAGAAAAAAACGCGTGGCTGCGTCTATGAAGTTCCGATTTGGGACGGAATAGGCCAGGCAAACCGGACCCGTGCCGCTTTGTGAAAAGAAAAGGGAGGCTGGCGACCCGTAGAAGAACAGACACCACCCAAACATACAACTGGAAAGGCGGCATAATACAACGTTCACGAAACTGGAGCAGGAACATCTGGTAAGAATAGGAAGTGGCGGTAGAGCTTGGAGGGGGGGAAGTGTGTTAGTTGGGGGAGGTAAGCTTCCCGCCCTGGCGTCGCTCACTCCCCCCCCCGTGACTGAAGTCGTAAACCTCGACCTTTTCTGCTCCGTCTAGTTCCCGTGTATCTGTATCTTTGCCCAAAATCTCGCCCCATTCAGTCTCTGGCCATAAGAACTTACGCATGGAAGAGAGATGCGCCTGGCGATATTCCAGTCACTCCCGCGCCCTTTTGTCGCTCATATACGGAGGGCTGTTTTCAATTTCGTGATGTTTTATAAACCGTCGCTACAGAAAAAAAGGAAACTGCAGCGCGAGGTATTCACAGAAGGCGTGCGTTCATGCACACTGAATAAACTGCCAGCTCTGTTCGCCGCTGGCGACCGTACGAAGCCACACTACGTTTGTCGAGATTGAAGTCCTTTGATGAGAGCGATAAGATAGAAAACGAAAAGCGAGATAAGAGGCGTGCTAAGCGTCGGAAAAGCGCTCTAATCCACCCAATAAATTCGCCTGGGGCGGGGCACAACAGAATGTGTCGCTGTCGGTTAGCGCCTCCCTGCTTTATACGTGAATGGCATATAGAATGACGTTTCTACCCCAGTGCCGCGCGCGCTTTATTTATCTATAAGAAATAAGAAAAACGGCATGCGACGTGAAACTGGCGGTGAGTGAGTGCCTCAGAGTCGATTATTGGCGGGCGCCAAGAAGCTGAGATTGAAAAAGGAGAAAATGAAAGAAAGGACAGAATGCGGAGATGTTACGATTATCGGACTGCGAAAAAGAATCACGTTCGTGCACGTCTTATATTTGCATACAATAGCGGCTTTCGGATCTGTAATTCCTTTGAAGATCTCAAATGTCGCAATATTGTAAATTGAGGTACGACCCTACAGGCTCGCAGCCATAGAAATATTTTTCAAACACAAAGGGGGGGGGGGGCATTTTGATAGCCTTGAAAAGCACGTATTTTGTTATTTGTTTTCGTCAAGACACCCTTACTCATCCAAATTTCGGGGGTTGGAGGGGGGAGCGGTGATATAGGGCACCCCATTTCCTGGCTACGGGCCTGAGTGCAAAATAAAGAGGTAAGCGGCATACAAATAGCAGCATCTACGGTAACGCTGCCACTGCTAAAACAGTGTTCAAAACTAGTTTCCCTGTAATGGGAAAAACACCGAGTCTCTGTGTTGGTATACCCAGACATGGCGGCAGTGATGATGCCAAGGCGTCATTCCGGTGACAAGGACGTATCTATAGCTTTATTTATCGTCAGTTGTCGCTTTTTCACCAAATTATCACACTGTCTTAGTGAGAGCGCTTCTTGTTTTCGCAGTTCGTAGACACGCTAGCGCTTTAAAAATGCGCTAAATAGGAATGAAAAAAAAAGCTGTCTTTTTCGTGTCACACTTTCCCCAAGAAGATGATTTGGCGTAAACAACCACACGCGAAACAAGAAAACGTAGCTGGCGGCGCCACATTGATGTGTCGGCTCCTACTCGCCGTGACGTCACAGCTCGCCAAGAAAAAAAAAATGTGTTTGAAACTCATGACGTAACTCTGACATTCACGAGCTCAGGTTGCGGCGCGAAATTAAAAAAAAAAAACTATGGCGTTCATTATCTCTTGAAGTCATTCATTGTGACAGCCAAATTTAAGTTGCAATAGAGCTCTTCAAGAACCATTTATCTGTATCAACTGATTTAATGTGTCACTCCAGCTTCTCTTCATAAGATGGCGACCACAATGACCTCAATAAAAACCATGTAACTCAACAGCGACTGCTCTCATTTGTCTTCGAATCATTATTTTCTCCAAAGCAACGTCATCAGTCAGATGTACACAGAAATAAGAGCAATGTGGTGAAAGCCCAGAGTTACACGAGGACGC